ATTCGAGAAAGGCTGAAAGCATATCGAAACCGACAAAAGAACTACACAGATAAGCGATGCAAACCCTCAGAATTGCGGGTTGGTGACCGACTTTTGCTAAAGGCCTCAGCGTTGAAAAGAATGATATGTTTCGGTAAACATGGGAAACTGAAACCAAGGTACAGCGGGCCATTCAAAATCCTCGCTAGGATTGGCCCGGTAGCATACAAACTCCGACTGCCGCAAGAACCTAATAATGTACATCCAACCATCCACGCGTCAAATTTAAAGAAATGTATGTCTGACGAGACTCTTGTGATACCTCCCGACGAAATCAAAACCAACGAGAGTCTCCACTTCGTGGAAAAACCGATAGAAACCATGGATCGAAAGATCAAAAGAATGAAATCAAAGTCGCATCCCCATTGTGAAGGTCCTTTGGAACGTAAAACGAGGACCTGAGTTCACCTGGGAACGCGAAGACCAGATGAAACAAAAATACCCGCATCTTTCCCCAACTCTCGAAGTCCCGGTCAAAGTGCTAATTTCGGGACGAAATTCCTTCTAACGGGGGGATGATGTGACAACCGTCAATTTCTAGTCAAGTCAAAGTCAAATAAAGTCAACAAGTCAAACCGGTCAACTCATTTAACCCTTGTATATTAGGGTTTACATAGTGCTTACTATTGTACAACGCACTATCTTAATGCAAAGTATCACTTTGAGTCTTCACGTGTTTAGAAAATCTAAACCCTAATCAGGGTAAGTGATGGAACTACTCGATAAAACATTAATACATACCCTTCGGGGGTGTATAACGCTCTTAACAAGGCAAAACGGGGTTTACAAACCTTGCATTTCGAAGTTAAACACTCGCAAAGGTCACAAACAAAGTCTCTCTCAATCTTTCTCCCTCTATCTCTCCCCATCTCTCTCTATCTCAAATCTCTCCCTAATCTCTCCCAAATCTCTCTCAAAACTTATTTCAACTTTTTATAATCACTCGGGGCATCCCGACCCTTAACTTGGTCAAAAATCACTCAAAACGGAAAGATTTACTCGAAAAATAGCCATATAGGACCGAAACCACTATATGAACCGAAGCCTCCCTATAGGAACCGAACCTAGCCTTAAGAACCAAATCCTAAAGACCGAACCTGTCAAGACCGAAACTTGCTTAAAGACCGAACTCACCCTTCGGTTCGGATTCCTAAGCGCCTCTCGGTCCATTTCGCTCCAAATTCGCCTTCGGTCTATTTCGCATGCGAGACTCCTCGGATCGAACATACCTTCGGTTCTTGCCTTCCTTCTAGGACCGAACCCACTCTCGGTTCTCAGCACCATGGACCGAACCTCGCCTCCTGACCTCGGATTTTCGCATATTCGCTCCTTTTTCCCGGTTTTCGACTACTTTCGCCTGTTAAGCCCGTTTTTGGCGATTTTGACGGGGATTTTCCACCAAAAGAAATTTGTTTCAAGGGACTTGGTCCTTGTCCAAAAGAAATTTGTTTCAAGGGACTTCCACAAGCACAAACACAAGAACATTTAACAGATTGTTTAACAGACTGTTTAACAGATTGTTTAACAGACTTTTGTGGCTTGGGTTTTTCCACAGTGGGAGTATCAGCATCACAAGATTTTGAATCATTTTCAGCGGACTCAAAATTGATTTTATTCTGCTTACTCCCATCTTGCACTGCTTCTTTATCTACACGTGAAGTAGAAGCATTAGAATCGCTCACCTTATTACAAGTTTTTGAACCTTTTTCAGCAAAACAAGAGTTATTCTGTCCTGCTCATGCCCATCTTGCACTGTGACCTGCTCTGCACATGAGGTAGAAACATTAGTATCGTTCACCTCAATATTCTTAGTTTGGCTGGATTGTTCAGTCTTAACTGAAGCTGGTACAGGTGGCTGGCCATACCGAGCAGGTATCTCTACCTCATTGGTTTCAAGGGGTGGGGTATAGTTGTCATTGAAGGGAGGTGGAACGCTGTGATATCCTAGACCCTTGTTCTGATTATCTTTAAATTTTAATTGTTTTTCAATCATGGACTCAACTTTCTTACTTGACACATCAAAATTTTTAAAATTAAAGTCTGCATTTTTAAACTTATTTTTCAATGTGTTAAGCTCGGCAGTTAGACTGACAATCTTTTGTTGAGCATAATCATAATGTTCACACTTTGTGTTTTATTATTCTTGAAGTTTTCTAAAGTCTTTGATTTTGGCCTCTAATTGATTTTTTAAGGGTTTTTGTTCCTTTCTGATAGTATATCGTTCATATTTAAGGTCCTCAATTTCCATAATTAATAATTCATGTTGATCACGATAAGATTTAATTTTAGCTTCACAGGACTGAGAACATGAAGCTTCATTAACCTTGGTGATTGAAGAACTCATTATTCACCAAAAAGAATAATTCACCAAAAATAGATCTGATTATGAAGCCAAGATAAAATGCCCTTTGACTTGAAACCTCGAAAGTCAAACTTGAAAAGTCAAACTTTAAAGACAAACTTGAAAATCAAACTTGAAAGTGAAACTTGAAAAGTCAAACTTGAAAAGTTAAACGAGAAAGTCAAATTTAAAGGTCAAAGGTCAAACTTGAAAGTCAAAAGTCAACTCTGAAAGTCAAAGGTGAAGATCAAAGATCTTTGTTAAAAAGAATAACCTTGACCGAAAACAAAAATTTCTAAACCGAAAACAAATAATTCTAGACCAAAACCAAGAGTATTTGACCAAAAACGAGAGTATTTGACCAAATACATGACTTTTTGACCAAAAACAAAGCTTTATGACCGAAAACAAAATTATTGTATCGAAAATATGGCTTTTTGACAAAAAATAAGTCAAAATGTTGAAATTCCGAAATTGTGGCCGAGAATGCGAGGCTGGATTCTCGGACCGAGAAAAGAAGTCTAAAATCTGAACCGAAGAAGTAGAACCGAGAACGCGATGAAATCCGAGTACGATGCAAGATCTTCAGACCCGGAAACGAGGACTTCGCTGCTGACCGAGAACGTCCGAATCCGTCCGAAATTGCTGTTGAGCTCCGGAAATGCTGCTGGCCGCCTAGGGTTTGACCGGATGCGAGGGAATCCGCCTAGATTTCGCAAATTTTGACCTAAAATGCCCAAAACTTGCCAAAAACACGGGATTTTCAATATTTTAATGCCAAACTCGATCTAAACTCCTAAAATATGAAGAACACGAAGAACAATGGCCAAAAATTCGTCAAAAATAAATTAAAAACACCAAGAATTTCCAAGAAAAACTCTTAAAAATATATTGCAATGACCCGATTGCTACCGATCCAAGCTCTGATACCACTTGTAAGTCCCGAATTCTCCTACGTATCAATCAGATTCACTTTGATTGTGCGGAATCCCAATCAAAGTGTATAATGAAAGATATAAGATGAATAAGAACAATATAATCAATCTTCAATGCACACTATTATAGATGAATAGTCGGGTACATAAGATTACTGATTACAATTTGTTTTCTTTCTTGTTCTCTCCAAAACGTGTTCTTGGCTTGTTGGCAGCCCCTAGAACGCCCCTTACCCTTTACAATGGTAAAATAAAGCTATTTATACTTAGACCTAATAACCAAGCCCAAGCCCAAAACCCAAACAAGCTAATATTAAACCTAACCAAAATCACATGTGATTTTGGTCCAAACAACACCAAAACATGGTGTTTTCGGTTCTAGATCGAGAACTCTAATAACTTATGAAAAGCAAAGTATAAACCATAATTTATGACCTAACAATCTCCCCATTGGTTTATAACTTTCTTTTCACTTACAATAAACCATAATTTAGTCCTAACAGAAACAACAGAACATGCTATAAGAGGAAGAAGATATAAGGTGCAACGAAAATAATAAACGATAAAAAGGAGCATAAATGATGAACAAAGAACGAGAAGAGAATAAAAATGTATAGGGTATATTTGTCAAATGTTTCTTATTCCATTGTGTTCCATCTTTTTGGGTGGGACTAAAACTTGAACAATTAGGCTATGTTTGGCGTACTAGCTGAAAAGCTAACTGTTAGCTGAAAAGCTAGCTATTAAATCAAAAGCTAGCTGATAGCTGAAAAACTAGCTGATAAAAAATGACGTTTGGTAAAACAAACTGAAAAAAAAATATGAAATGACATAAAATGACATTTAAAAGAATGTGTTTTTATAATAAATTAAGGGTATATTTGAATTTTTTTTAAAAAGCTTCTAAAAAGCTAGTCTAAGGCTGTGTTTGGCGCGCCATAGCTAGCTTATTTTTCGATCTTTTTTTATGTTGTATTTTTTGGTAAGCCAAAAAGGAGTTTATAAGCTAGCTTTTTGAAAAGCTACTTAGACTAGCTTTTTAGGAGTTTTTTTAAAATTTCCAAATATACCCCTTAATAATTATAGAAACACATACTCTTACATGTCCTTTTATGTAATTTTATATATTTCAGCTAGCTTTTCAGCTAGTTTTATCAAACGTCATTTTTTATCAACTAGCTTTTCAACTATCAACTAGCTTTTTATTTAATAGCTAGCTTTCCAGCTATCAGCTAGCTTTCCAGCTAATACACCAAACATAGCCTAAGTAGCTTTTTAAAAAGCTAGCTTTTAAGCTACTTTTTGGTTTGCCAAACACGACAACTTAAAAAAGCTTGAAAAATAAGCTAGTTTTTCAGCTAGCTGTGACGCGCCAAACACAACCTTAGTCTCATTTGACTTGCTCAATAACTTATTTTGTTCTTGTTCCATCTCTATCAAAAGCCTTTAGAAAAAAAAATTGTTATGTTCTATCCATTTCTATTCCATCCACCAAACGCTACCTAAATAACATTTTTTTTACCTATATAAGAAATGGGTACTTGCGGTAGCAATAATATTTTGTAAAATGAAACATCAGTTCATTACCCTTGATAACGTTTTTTAAGTTGGAAGGTATTTTCTGAATGTATTAAAAAGTTGGTTACCTATTGTGACATTATGCTCATACTCTTTATTATACGCCCGGACTAGCTAGACCTGAAAATAGAGAGAAACCTCCTCGGTTGTGTTGCGCCGCCTCATAAGACAATAAGAACCTCCACTTGCTGTCCGACACCGTAGAGAGATGGCGGAGACGAAAAGGAAGAAAACCCTAGCTTCTACAAACAGTTTAAAGAGAAGAAAGGGAGGAGATAAAGAAAAGAACTGGAAAAAGGGTCCCCATTTACCCAACGCATTGCAAAAAGAGCTTAATTCCCTAAACCCTACAGATAGAAGCGACGAAGAGATCCACTCCGATGACGACATCGATGTTTATGAATACGAAGAAAATATCCCTGAGGAAGAGTCGAAGAAGAACCGCAGGTACGACCCCGTTGATAACTTCGAGTATGAACTCCCCAAGGATTTCGAGGTAATTCCATGATATTTGAATCAGTTTTTGCGTATTATGTTTCATTTTTCTTGTCTTTCAGCGAACAACTAAGCTTTGAATATGGATATCAAAGGCGTTAATTTTTGGATTCGAAATGGATTGAATTCTGAACTTTTTGTATAATTTTTTTCCAACTACATCGAACATTGTAACAAGTAGGATGATTTTTTACCATCTGAATGGACTGGACTTTTCAGTAAAATCGCATTCGGTTTTGTATTTGAGAAGTGTTAGGTTTGATATTCAAATATCAAAAAAATTTCATGAATACAGGATATTATAACATGCTATTTAGTTTAGAGCTCACTTATTTTTTAATTTCGTTCTTTTATCATGTGTTGGTTTCATTTGTGATTGTTGGGCTTAGTGTCCTGTAGTTTCATGACTTATCTGATCATTGTAATAAATTCCTGATGACAAGATAATAAGCGTAGTTTGATAATTTAGTGTGGTGGTATAAGCAAAGTAATGACAACAATGCTCTCATTAAGCTGTAAGTTGTAGGTAGGTAGCTACTGGTGTCTTTGAGGAAAGAAGTATACTATAGACGGAGTCACCAAGCTTGTTTCCTTTTTTATGGAACCGAGAAAGATTGTTGTTTTCAGTGGTTATGCTTGCATAATTTTGTGTTTGTTGATAGGATGAAGATGTAGCCTCTGATGATGATGAGGAAGAAAAGGGAGACAGTGATGAGTACGATGAGGAAAAGCATGCAAGGATGTTACAGGATATTACTGGACTGCCTGGCGATGCTTTTGAAGGTAATTTACAGGACTATTTAATAAAAAAAAAAAAAAATAATTTTTTGTTGTTAGTTATAAGTTGTGAATTTCCAGGCAAGAAGAAGAAAAAAGATGTGGTAATATTTGAGGCATACCCGGAGTCTGAATATAATCCGAGCCGTGATGTGTTGGATGGTGATGGGCGCATTACTGTTGATGACCTTCTAAATCCCCTTCATGGGAAACCCGGATTCAGCAAAATAAGAAAAGATGTGCAGCGAATGGATAAAAAGTCCATGTCCATACAGCCTCCTCTTCCAAAACCACAGCAACAAAAAATAGATAGGAGAAGTGCTTATGTGTATTCAAAAAAGAAACTTCATGAATATGAAGCATTGGTGAAGAAAAATAGAGAAGCACCAACCATCTACTTTGATGAAGACATAGATGTGGGATATTCCACTGTAGGGGCAATAGCTTCTGAGTTTAGGCCCAGGACTGAGTTTGAGAAGAAAATGGATTCTTTAATTAATGGTAAAGAACTCTCAGAGGCACATAAGGGTGATGGTGCAAGGCTTCTACAACTTAACAAGGTGTCTCTAGAAGATGTGAAGGAACGCCAGGACCGACTTTCTAAAATGCGTAATCTTTTATTTCGTCATGAACTCAAGGCCAAAAGGATTAAACATATAAAGTCCAAAACATATCGCCGTTTGCTGAAGAAAGATAAATCAAAAGCCACTGAGATTGAAATGAATCCGGAAGCTGCTAAAGAACTTGCAGAGAAAGAGGAATTTAAGAGGGCTGAGGTGATTTAACATTCATTTCTCTTACCTGGTTTAACAAATAATATAAACTGGTAGAGACTTTTAATCTGTTGTATATGGCAGGAACGTATGACTCTAAAGCACAAGAACACTTCTAAATGGGCTAAGCGCATTAAGAAGCGTGGTGTTGATGTCCAAGATGATGGAACACGGGCTGCTATATCAGAACAGCTTCAGCAACATGCTCTTTTAACTCGAAAAAGGAATTCCATGCATGATGATGAGAGTAGTAGTGATGACAGCACAGAGGATGATGATGATGACATCTCAGGAGATGAGGACGATGCATCCAAACTAAAATTGTTAGAGAATGGAAAGAATAGGACACTTGAAGTGTTAGGGGAAGATGATGATGATGATGACATGCCCAAATCAGGAGTCCTTTCTCTACCTTTCATGGTACGCTTTAGCCTTTATGTTTGTTTATTGTATGTAACACTTAATCTCTCGCAACTGAAAATCTTGGTGATGCATTTGGTAGGTTCGTGGGCAGAAGAAGAAAAAAGAGGCAGCCGAAGAAGAAGCCAGGCTTGCTTTTCAAGACTATGATTCATCGTTGAAGCAGTTGGATGGTGATGAGGATTTCAAAGACAATGCAGGAGCTTCTTTGAGTGGTAGAAAGGTATATGGTGGTGCACAAAAGAAACAGGTTCCACAGTCCAAGAAGAAGGTTAAGGCTAACACAGATAATTACTTTGACAATATGGATAGTGAAGATGATGATGATGATGATGATGATGATGATGATACCATGGATAAACATGGGAGAATGACTTATACACAGAAAGATGTCAATATTGACCCTAATATTCTTCGAGAGGAGTCGGAGATCGGGCATGATCCTTTGTTTAAGGTGATTAAATCGTCAAGAAATATAAATCTCTATAACCTTCCAGTCCCACATGATATAACAAGTTTTAATGTTTTATTGCATATAGAGCTTTGATGATATTGATAAAGATGAAGGGCCTAAGATCGAATATGAAGTTTCTTTGTCCGCAACCAATTCTTTAAAGAAGGTATGGTATTGGTATTGTGTTATGCTGGTTTGAGTTTTAGGAATTGTTGTAATTCTAAATTTGTATTTGCAGAAGAGGAATAGGAAAGATTGTAATCAGATAAAAGGCAAGAAATCACAGGTTGCAGAAGTGGCATCTGACATAGAGGAGGTACAAGTATCAATAATAGCACATGATGTTGTTTGTTTGGAAAAAGTTTCTTAGTTTGTGTATCGGATGATGTGTTGTTATATGTAGCAGCATGGAGATGATGATGATGAAGGTGGTATCGTGGATGGAATCATAACATCGGGGACGGATTATGAGTTGCCATCACAGGATGATCTGATAAGACGTGCTTTTGCGGGTGATGACGTGGAGGAAGATTTTGAGATGAGCAAACAAGAGATATTGAATGAGGAAAACCCGGAGCCTGAAAAGCCGGTGTTGCTTCCTGGATGGGGGCAGTGGACTCATATACAGAAAAAGAGAGGGCTGCCGTCTTGGATGTTGGCTGAGCATGAGAGAGCCAAAAAGAAGAGGGACCAGGACCTCAACAGAAGACCCGATGCACATCTTAAGCATGTAATCATATCCCAAAAGCTTGACAAAAAGGTACATTCCACACATCTCCACTCCATATTTTTTACTAAATAATACTATACTGTTTCCTAATCATTTTGATTTTTGATTTTTGATGCAGGCTGAGAAACTGCAGACAAAGGTGTTGCCATATCCATTCAAGGACAAGGAGCACTTTGAACGGAGCAACCGTATGCCTCTTGGTCCAGAGTTTAACCCTGCAACAACAATCGGCTCACTTAATCGCCCCGACGTACATCATTTTTCCCTTTTTCACTCACTAATACTTTGTTTCTTATTTTCATTTGTTTTGAATATTGTTTATTATTTAATATTAAAGGTGGTGAAGAAGCCTGGTGTCAGCATAAAACCAATCAAGTTAAGGAAGCATCATTGACTGACTTGAACAGAAACATCATCATGCCAATCAGTTTTGACTTTTGAATGGGATCCATCAGATCACCTGTAATTGTAATTCTTTCTCTCGCTTATTTTTGCAGTTTCTCCGGATTTTGACATGAAAAAACTACAAGTTATGTAATCTTTTGATTTGTTAAGTGAGTTGGAGCTTTTATTTTTGCAAATACTGTCTGTGGTTTACCTTCCCAAACTTGATATATAAATTTATAGTAATTAATAAATGGTGGTTAGATGTATCAATGTGTATCATTGTGTATGAGGGGAGATTAATATCAAATGACTGCACTGGATTGAACCAAAGGCCAAAGGCCAAAGGATCAATTTAATAATCCTGTTTAGACTTTTAGATTGGCTGTTTGGTGTGAGTCAATATGTTCCTAGCTGTCTTGTATAAAAAGCATTTAAATTTTTGAGAATCGTCGGAACTTCTAACAACATAAGTCCAGTCTCTCAAACTATAGGTTGCAATCTTGAATCTTTGATGATCAAGTGTTTAACAAGTATATAACATATGACACCAGGAATAATGACTTTGTTCTTGAATCTTTGATGATCAAGTATAATAAGACATTAATTTTATTATTTTATTTTATTTTTTATTATTTTTTTTAAACAAAATATAGTTCAATACATATATCGATGGAAGGCAAACGGACAACAAGTTGCGCTGCTAGTCCTTTTTGGATGGCAAAACTAATTCTTTTGAAAACATCTGTGGATCTAGGAGATATGACATTAGAATGCATGACCCGTTGGACTCTGTTGAGGAGCTCCACCGTCTCTGGTGCGGGAAAACCAAATGTATCAAATGCAAAAGGTACAAACACATATTGATTTTCTATACATGCATTCTCGTGCTTTGCCATTTTGCACGCAGCGACTTTCAAAGCAGCATGTCCTGCTGTGAAACCCATGTTCCTCAAACCGACGAGAGGAGAGACCCTAGTAAGATCCACACACGCGTGCTTCCCTCCTACCCATCCAAAGACCAAAATGTTAGCCGGCCTGAGTGTGGATCTTCCATCCTGTGAGTCCTTATTAGTGAAACCGCTATAGTCGAATCCTGGAAGTCATATCACATAGGTAATCAGAGTCCATACATGCATCTATCATAGTCATATCATTAAATAACATTTACTTGCGGTTTGCGTTTAAATATAATTAAATATGGTTTCGATTTATTATTACAATTTCACATTATGATTAACTAATTTATAAATTATTTATCTATTGATTTTTTTTAAAATAATTTTGATCATAATGATGTTTGAAAGTCAACGCAATGTAAGTTTTTTTTTTTTTTTTTTTTTTTTTTTTTTTTTTTTAATATCTACATTCACAATAGTTAAACCTTTTTAACTATTTTGAGAAATAATATTTAATATATTTTTAAGTTTATTTTAAATTTTGATTTATGTTTTAATATTTAAATTAACGAATCAGTATATTATAATAATCATCTTAATAGTCTATCAATAATAAGATCAAATTTTGTATTTAATAACATATTTTAATTAATTGTTTAATTATATCAAGTTAAAAATTGAAAGGCTAGTGAGGTTTCAAATGCATATGTTGATAAGAAAAATGTCTCATTTATAGTATAATATGAAGCATGGTTGTTAAGATCCTGATCTTGATCTTAAAATCTTACGATTTTAAGATCCTACGAGCCAAAAATGATCCTGATCTCACTAGGATCTATCTGAAGTAAGATTTAAAATGGGATCTTAAGATCACAACTATGATCTTAAGATTTTAATACAATCCAATTATACCTCTCTAGTTTTATTATATATATAGTCGAGTCTCATAGAGTTCCATTAATTCATTTCGAATTAGGCATGTCACACTCATGATATTTCATTTGTAATCTTAAGTCTTTAGTTGTACATGATCATAATGATCTTGTTTCCTTTTACAATTAAGATGTTTTCTTAATTATTTTTATGATTTGCATCAATAAAAATTATGGTTCATATTTGAAAAGTTAAAGTAAACTCCATATCGATGTCTTAGTCAACATCAAACTTTGCACACTCAATACTTTACAAACAAATTTGAATATGAGTTCATTTTGGTAGGATCTTAGGATCCTGATCCGATCTTATGATCACGATTTTGAAAAACATAAAACAATATTGGGTGAGATCCCGATTTTAACAACATTGGTATGAAGTATGATATAATATGATATTTCAATAATAAAATAGATATATTATATATTGTTATGAAAGTTATATATAAAAAGGTTTAAAATCACTTTACCATATTAAATACAAAATCACTTATATTGTTAACTAACTTTGAATGTTATAACTTATGTCTATGTAGATGTTTTATTTTTATTGTTTATACTTATTTAACATTAATTAAATGTATAATCATTATTAGAGAAGATTTGGTGAAAGAAAAATGTTTCTATAGTTAAAATTTGGTAACTACATGTTGAAAATAATTTATTCATTGATATTACTTGTGAAATAATAATTTCTTACACAAATTTGTTATGTAAATTTGTAATGAAATTGAGATCATATCATTTAATTGTCGTTATTTGAAATTAACATGTGAATAAAATTAAATATAATTCTCAATTTAGTATTACTTTTAACGTTATAATTAATTTAGAAATTACTTATTTGATCTTTTTTTATACGGTAAAGTAATATAATTTTAAACTTTATGTTATTTTAACTATTATTATTGTTAATTAATTTAAAAAACTTTATGTTATTTTAATTAGTTTATGATTTTTTTAGTCAATTTTACATGTCAATTTAAATATAACTTTCAATACATGTAAACATTTTAGAAAAATAGTCTTTAAGTTTATTTGATATTTTGCTTTATATTTTGGATTTATTTTAAAGACAAATCTAATTTTAAACTACTCTTAAACTCCTCATATGTCCCTAATGAGACTTAAACCCATGACCTCAAGAAAAGAAAGACAACATCTGATACCGCTTGCTAGAAGACATTTGGTTAACATGGTATCTAAATTAATATTTTAGAAGCCCTTTGGTTAGCATGATATCTAAATTAATATTTTAAGTTTAAATATTGATAATTCAAAAAATCTACCACTAATATGATAATATTTCATATTTAATAACATATTTAATTTTAAATAAAAGTAGATATATATGATTGAAATTTAAAAATATTAGGGGTTTTAAATACATGTTATGCATGTAAAAATTCCTTACTTTATAGTATATATTGATACTAATAATAGATAATAGATTCATAATATAAATAGATATAAATTTTATATTCTATGTTTAAGAGTCTGATTGAATATGATTATAACCGAACATTTACGGTTATTAAAGAAAAAAAAAATATTGTTTTATATGACTTAATTGATTAAATCGTTTAAATTGAACGATTAGTGATGAAAAGTAAAAACCGTAAAAAGAATTTTCAGAAACGATCCATTTAATTAGAGAATGGCTAAATAAACACCCCCATTTACTAGAAACACAACCTATGCTAAAAAAACACCATAATAAAAAAAGTCAACAATGTCTTTTTACATTGAAGTTTGTATACCCTACTTTTTGTTTTTTTTTAATTCACGTGCATTCTTTTTATTTTTATTTTCTTTACTTTTTATTTATATTTTCTTTTTGGAGTAATTAAAACATAAATATATATATATATATATATATATATATATATATATATATATAAATTAAATATAAATGATTAATTATTTATTTTTAATTAATATAGATTAATAACGTATATATATTTGTATATTATTTAATAATTAAATATAAATGAATACATAAAAACAAAAATATGATGCAAAAAACAATAGCATTAGCAATCCTTCATGAATACATAAATGCATAATTCGAGAGAAAATTAATACCCTCTAACAATCCTCTATAGTTATAAAAGGTATTTCAGGATTGTAAGATTTCAGTTGTCTATAAAGTTCTAGACGTGACATGAACATAGTTTCCCATCCAGCTGCACATGGGGCTTTGTGGCGGATCCAGAAAGCTGAAATGGTAGGCAGCGGGCAATCTTCTTCTAATTGTACCATCACATAATGATTACCATATACAAGTGAAATCGTAATAACGCGATGGTACAAAAATTCTTCCGGACCTTTCCAAAGAGGAAAGAAAGTGAGAGAGCCTTGGTTGGTTAAAAAAGTAAGGACTACACCAAATCTGTTGGCAATGAGGATACCTGTTTCAGGCATAAGTAACCGGTATCTTTTAGGTGCCGGCGATTCTAAGAAATTCAACGAAGTATATAGTTCACCGATTCCATCAGTGAAAACTCTAGCATATGCATCGTACGAACTCAATAACTCGTCTAGTAGTTGACGTCGAACATAGAGTCAGTCATTCTCGCCATACCCAAGACAAACAGATATTGCTCGAAATCCACAGTTTCCATCCCCCTCTACATCTTGTATATGTGTGATGTAAGGATGAAATATCACTTGAATTGCATCTATTAGTCGATGATTGTAGCATGATTGAGGCTCTTCCTTCAAGTCTGGAATTTCATTCAAGTCTGGCTCTTCTTTCAAGTCTGGAATTTCATTCAAGTCTGGAATTGTGGTTATGTATGAACTATGTCTTGCCGGTTCCCTATTGTTCAACTCAAAAATTTTTGGCATGGTTGAAAAGCTGGGTCTTCTAGGAGCTTGATTGATAGAATAAGTTTGTTTTTGTTTTTGTTTCTTCAAACTTGGTCGTCCACGTGTATTTTTTTGAATTGCGGGTTCTCTAATGTGTGTTTTACTAGGCTGGAATATATCTAGTAGCTTTCTCATCATGCTTTTTTTTCACAGCTTCCGGTTGCTTATTGTAGGTTTCTTTAAACACTTCAAATTTACCATCACCACATATATCCTCATTTTCCATAGGAATTGACGGTGAAATTTTAAGTTTTCTCCAGAATACATCTATTGATTCCAATGAAATACACTCACCTGTAATGAAATATCATTAATATATAAACAATCAATATATAACTTAAATGTAAAAAGTAATTGTCAAATGCACCCACTAAAGTTCAAGTATGTTGATAACATGTAAGCACATGGTAAGCCACAACTATTTTGTAGTTTACAACCACAGTTTGAAGAGTCAACTTGATGTACCCGTTGAAGTTCCTCTACAAGCATATCCAGAGCTTTAAGTGAAACATTACCCCGCAACAAATCGAAACACGAAAATTTGTGTTCGTGTTTGGAGACGATCATGCTCTTTTCAAAACTCTCATTTATCGTTGTAAGTTGAGACTTCACAAACCGATCAATAGCACCAACAAACTTGGCTAAAGAATAATTTTTTTCTTGTAAGTACTTCTTTAACGCTGAATGTTGGTCCTCAACTCTGCTGCTGGTTCGTTGTCCAAAGTTCAAATGTTGATCAATCCAAACAGAGACAAACATTTCCTTATACTTGTTTAACCAAACATCGTCCAAATACTGTAAAACATCTGGAATCATATAAATGTTATTTATGTATAAAAACCCTTCTAAATTTATAAACAAGTAGTTACAAAATACGTAGAATTGTACCTTCATGTTCTCTTAACATTGACTGTAGTTTTCTGTAGTTTTCAGTGTACGATGTCCATGTTGGAGAGTCAACAATTATACTCCACATAGCACGAAAGGATTTCCACAAAGCTTTCGATGGGATTAGCTTCTTACAATGCTTTCTAATATTTTCGGTAATGTGCCATCGAAAAAGTAAGCGAGTTGCATAAGGGAAAACTTGTTGGCATGCATTCACCAATGCCAACTCTCTGTCCATCACTATAACGCGTGGTTGCATGCACTTTTCTAGTGTCAACCTTAGACACGTTAACACCCACTTATAACTTTCCTCCTTTTCGTTAATGATAAAGGCAAAAGCAATGCTAAATGTCTTGTTGGTTGAAGTTACTCCAACAATCTCAACAAAAGGCATATCATATTTGTTTGTTTTGTATGTTGCATCAATAATCAAAACGTGTGGAAATGCTTGCCATATATCTAACGACAGTGGATGAATGAAAAACAGGTTTTCCAATTCATTTGAAATATTATTTACGGAAAACTCGATAACAAATTTTTTATCATTCAAAATTCCCAAAAGAACCTACATTGAAATATCGTTAATTAATAAAATTCAATATATAAATTATATGTAAAATATACTTGTTGAAATATTATACCTGCATCGGAGTTTTTCCATCATTTTGGGACGAGTGAAGCTTGTACTGTGCATTGTATATGGTTTTGAGTATAGAAACATTATTCTCATCATGCTCTTTTAGTATCGAGAGTATGTTGCGTGGTTCAACATTCTGACTTGTCAAGTCAGCCACCAACTTTTTTTCGTTTTCTTTCAACCGCCTAGCATAAGCATGTCCTTCCATATGTTGTGCAGGTGGATGGTTATGTTGATCACATTTCACCCTCAATGTCCAACCATCAAATTGTTTTATATACGAACCTACCAATTTAAATGGACAATTGATTTTTTTGGTGCCGGAATTTTTACTTGTTGCTTTAATTTTGTATTCACCACCACGATCACAAATAAGTGTGACATAAGACACCACATCATTTTCATTTGTCTTTGATCTTCTTCTAACGATAACATAACCAAGAGAAAATGCTCTGTTTTGTACCCATCCCATCAATTCATTTAGAGAATCGAACACCTAAAATTCAAATAATATCTGTTAATAACTAGTGAACATTACAATGATTAAAAAAATTAATATCATGATAAGTATTATACCCGTTCGGTGAAAAATGGTGACATCCCCATAGAGAACTCGTTGCCTTCATTTGAGTTTGCCCCGTAAAAATTCGCCATCTTTTCGATAAAACTATGAACATAACAAAAAAATTTGTTAAAAAAACTAAAATAATATAAAATAACTAATTAAAAATAAACATATATGTTTTTAAAAGCTGATTAACTTTTAAAAATCAAAATCAATGGCAGCCGTGCTTGAAATGTCTAATGTCCACTTATCTAAAAAGCTAATTTATTTTAAAAAAACAAAAAGCAACAATTCATTTAGTTTAAAAAACTGATTTATTTTAAAAAATGATTTATCATATTAAGTGGTCAAACCACTTAAAGGTTAGCCCACTTAAAATGTTCAGGCCAATTATCCGATGTTCAGCCCATTTATCCAATTAATACACAAAACCCTAAAACCACAAAATATTATCATTTTGCAATGTATTTGCTGTGAAAGAGCAACAACCGTCCCCCATCTGCCGGAGCACAGCAGCCGCCGACGACTTGATGCCACCGGAGAATCGCCGACATCAGACCTCCGACGAAGAGTCCATGCAACCAGAGCATCGTCACCACCATGAAGCTCTCCCTATCTGTTTTTTCTTCGATCTGTCTCTTTCCACGTTTTCTCTTTTCCGGCACCGGAGATCTAGACGACGCCTCCGGCGGCGGTGATGCTCGCCGTCGGTCATGATTACCATAACTCGTTCCCTATCTCTCTCATTGATTGATCTGTCTCTATCTCTCTCTCTCTCTCTCTCTCTCTCTCTCTCTCTCTCTCTCTCTCGATGTTTTACACTTTTCCGGTGGCGGTGCTGCTAGCCGTCGGCGATGATGACGGTGGTTGGACTTTAACAATCACAGTTATATTTTAAATCCTGAAATAATAAACAAAGTTAGAAATTTACCTAAACTGTATTAGATGGTTAGATTAATGTTAACCTATCTTTTTTATAATAAAACATAAGTTGTTATTAGTTAAATTGATATTAATGTAATCCCTTTATTATATATACAATTTACGAGACACAGCTTTTTATGTTTGAACTTTTTTAGGTACCCAATATAGCTATTATATAGGGTGTTTTTTAAGAAAAAATAGTTTGACTTTCAAAATAGGGTGTATATGGGTTGTTTATTTTGCAGCTACCTTTAATTAGTATTTGTAGAAAAAAAAAATAACAATTAATTCCCTATTTGTATTTAAAGATACGGACGGTATCATCGTTATCCTCGCCAGTCGCCACTGAACACCCTCCCTCGCACCAAACCACAAAAACCATATTACACCCTACTGTTGCACACAACAGCTTATCTTCTTCATTCTTCAAACACACCCACCAAAAATGGAAGCTAAACCTCATGAATTCGAAAACCCTGATTCCGAAACCCCAACTGAAGACCAATCGCACCTCTCCATTGCTCCCTTTACCTCCATTTCACTTTCTCTTCCCATCCACTTCATCTCCCCACCAAAAATCTCACCTTTCCCTTCCCAAATCCCTAAATTTGTGAAAATCCATAATCAAATCTCTTCCCCTTTGCAATCTTTCTCTCTCTTCCAACACCCTCAACCCCACCAAACCATTCTTCAAGTCCACCGTCTCTGCAAACCCTCTTCAAAACCCATTATCTCTAAACCCTCGCCGCCCATCTGACCCCTCCAATGCCGCTGGCGGACGTCGCGCCTCCGTGGTATGGTTCCGTAACGATCTTCGCGTTCACGATAATGAATCTCTGTCCTCTGCTAACAATGAGTCAATGTCAGTGTTACCAGTTTATTGTTTCGACCCTAGAGACTACGGGAAATCTTCATCTGGGTTCGATAAAACCGGGCCATACCGTGCATCTTTCTTGATTGAATCGGTTTCCAATTTGAGAAAGAATCTTCAAGCCAGAGGGTCGGAGCTTATAGTTCGAATTGGAAAACCTGAAAAGGTTTTAGCTGAGTTAGTAAAGGAAGTAGGCGCAGAGGCAGTGTATGCACATAGGGAAGTGTCTCATGATGAGGTGAAGGGTGAAGAAAAGATCGAGACAGCATTGAAAGACGAAGGAGTGGATGTAAAGTACTTCTGGGGAAGTACATTGTACCATATTGATGATTTACCCTTCAAGTTGGAAGAAATGCCCACCAATTACGGTGGGGTTTAGGGAGAAAGTGCAGGGGTTAAAAATCAGGAAGACGATTGATGCACTTGATCAGTTGAGAGGGTTGCCGGCTGGTGGTGACGTGGAGCCTGGTGACATTCCTTCTTTGGTTGATTTGGGTCTTAATCCTACTGCTACCATGAATCAGGTATGAGTTTATTATGGTCGTGTGGATGAATTTATGTTGATTAGGTATTGAGATTTGAGAGTGTGGTGTTAGGCGAAAGCAACTGCAAATGCATCACTTGTTGGAGGTGAGACTGAAGCACGTGAGAGGCTTAAAAAGTTTGCTGCAGAGTGCCAAGCACAACCTCATAAAGAAGGAAGCAATGATAGCAGCAGCAGCAGCATATATGGTGCAAATTTCTCTTGCAAAATCTCCCCATGGCTTGCAATGGGATGCCTTTCCCCTCGTTCCATGTTTGATGAGTTAAAGAAATCTGCTTCTAGGTATGTAATATGTTGTATTTGTTGATAAAGTCTTTTTTATTTCATGAGCTTGAAAAAAGAAATAAATTTGTAGAACCATTTCTGCCCGCAAAGATGGTATTGGTGGTGACACCGGGACCAACTGGTTGATGTATGAGCTCCTGTGGAGGGATTTCTTCAGGCAAGTGCAAAGTCAATGTCAATCAAAATCAACCAAATTTGTTTTTGTGATTTTTTAACTTTTAAGATGATGTTTATTTGTCTATAAATAAAAAAATCGCACAGATTCATCACCAAAAAGTACAGTTCTGCCAAACAAAATAATGCTGCTCCAGTCACAGCTTCTACAACAGGTGCAACAGTGGCATGATCATGTTATGAGGAATTGAGATATGTTTCAAGACCAGAAACACACACAGATTTGATGCCAACATGTATCTCTTCTTTTGGTCAACCGCATCCCATATAACTTGAGAGATTATTCAGTCGAACAATGTTTTTGTTTCATTAGACTCTAGTGTCTTGTCATTTGAGATGCTTTATGAATTCCATGTTAATGCATATATATATAATATATATATATATATATATATATATATATATATATTCTGTGTAAAACATTCATATTATATGGCCGACAGCAATTCAAGAACATGGTATTTCTTTTACTTCTATACCAGCCCAGGTGCAATATATAATAAATCCAATCCAAACAAGTGTGGCCTGTGGGGAATTTATATAAAGCATCTGAAGAAAAAAATACATACATAAAATTAAAAATACAAAGCAATGGGCAAAATTAATAAATACAAATAGAAATGGAAAAAGAATAAAGTCAAATGATTCCAGAAACTTTTAGGGAGGATAAGACTACGAATATGAGCCAAAGCAACATGAAATACGCACATGTGACCCAAGCCCAAACCCGTGGTCCTCCAAGCTCACCACCAAACACAATCCGTCTGACTACCAAAATTGAGATACAGCCAACAGAAGTTGAGAAGAAAACCAGCAATGAGAAACTCAGCCCCTCTGCATTCTCAATTCGCAGAGGCTCTCCATATGCTATGAAGTTGTAAACTGTGTCAATCAGCCATGGAACTCCAATCCCCACATAGATGTTCACTGAATTGCTACATACATACATACCAAAACCAAAACCATCATCTTCAGTTTCAGTTTCAGTTTCTTTCCAAAACCAAAAAGCATATTATTATTAAATATTAATTTAACCTGCAAGTAATGTTTGCAATGGCAGAATCTGCAGTTGTTTGCCTTTCAGCAGCAATTTTACTTGCCACTAGATCCGGCCACGAGGTTCCACCTGCCAATGCAGTGAATGCTATCACATAACTGTTGATTCCTGCAAAGGATCAACTCGAATTCAAAGAATTGTTTGTTTGTTTTAAATTTAAAATCAGTTGTTGATACTTGATACGCACCTGTAACACAGCTGATGAGGTCCGTGAGCCTTGTAACAATATAAGCTATTCCACTGATGAAAATCAGAGAACAGATAAAAGCAATCCACCCATGAGCTATCTGATATGGAGGCACAAATGCAAACACCAGTTTCCATGGAGCAACAATAACATTCCAGAAAACCTTTGCCCAACCCACACCCCCACCCACGCCCCCCCTGTTATTTGTATCTCTCAGTTTCGTGCTATCCAACTGTTGAGTGTTGAAGAAAAAATAAACCAGGATAATGAACAAACAGCTTTACACCACACCTATTAAGTAAATACTCAAAGACCATAACAACATGTGGTACCAATTTGCCATACCATGAGAGCATCGACAAATTGGTGCTTCCAAATTGAAGCAACATCAGATTCCGGATAGATATCAAAATGCTTATCAGATGGATCACTTAAAGGCAGATGTTGATAAGTAGAGTCTGCAGCAACAGCACAATAATTACAACAACTTCACATAAATGCATAATTATTATATTCTTGATTTGTGAAATACAAGTAATACCTGCAGCATTTCCTTGGTGGATGGAAAATATATCTGCAATACCTTTTTCTGCTGGAACCCATTCCTCTGGTCTTTCACTCCGGTCCCTGTAACATATATAAATGCTAAGCTTTTACAAAATATTGATTAGCAAGTAGCAACTTCCTAGAGAGAGGGAGGCATGGTATCATACAGAGGAAGAGACACCAAGGGCCAACGTTTGTCTTGGGCATATGCGTGTACAAGCAACATCCCAAATTGCAGCACAGTCAACAACGCCTCCCACACAGTTATAACATTTGGACTCCATACCTGCAACAACCAAATTCCCAAATTCAAATTATTACATAAACCCTTTTCCTTTCCCTACAAACAAATAAAATACCACCTCCAGAATTATGTAGAGCCAAATATATGCCCAGAACGACCAAAACAGTTCTACAATCCAAACTCCCAAATCCGATATCTTTTTCACTTCCCCAGCTTTCGGAACCACCACACACACCGCGTGGATAGGAAACAGGTCGAATGCAGCAGACCCAACAAGCGTTCCAGGCCCTAACCCTATCAATTTTAACCACACACACACACAATAAAATCGTTTGCAATTGCTGTGTGTTTCTCTAGTCTATCATATAAAACAAACTGCTTGTGGAGTGATCGATCACGCACCTCCAGCATACAGTTTGCCAATATTTCGTATTGCATCGATGGTAGCCAAAGAGATCTGTGGGAAGCTAGTACCAAAAGCCAACAGAGTAATGTCTGCAATCGTATAATTCCACACTTTTTCATGTCTCACACGTTGTGTATTGTTCCGAGGATCTATCTCCACCACCGTTCGAGTTTGTTGCACAACATGTTCCATGGACCGGAAAAACCTTTCAGTTATTGCCGATAGTCCAATGAAACAATAAGCAAGTGCTAAGAAATAAAAAAATGTACGAAACCCATCTCCCATTGATGTTTCTCCGGGGAAAAGAAAATAGGTTTCGCATGCCTTCTCCACAATAATGTGGTTAAATGTCTTTCCGGCTGCCGTTTTATCATCATGTACCATTTCCTTTAACACCGTAGATCAGAAACCCTGGTTAATTTATGACCAAAGGAGGGGTATGGGATGTATCAAATCAAATTAATTTGGAAGGAGTGAAAGTAAGAGAGAAACGGGCGAATTGGGATCGACAACCAGAACCAGACGTCCAGGCATTCATGATCCATATGTCATTGTTTTGATTTGTTAATTAATCTATAGGAGCAGCAGGAACACGTCTCTTCAAAGTCAGCCACGGGATTCACACTTCATAATTCATTCTTCCCTACTAAATCAAAATGGGTTTTACTTTTTATAACACCATCCTGATCCAATGCACACCAAATATTGTGTTGACCTATATATTTGATCTATATATTTGACTCTAACTTTCTTTTTATTTCTTAAACACAGCTTTTGACACTAGTGACGCAATGATTAACTAACGAGAATAGAAAAACAATAAAATACATTTAATATTACGTTTATGCCCCTTTATTTATATATTATTTTCTATTTTCCTCCCTTTAACTTTACAAACATATACAACATATTGTCTTTTATTAATTTTATTTTTGAATATATTTATTTCGTGTTATTTTTAATATAAATAATCTCACATATAAACAAATTCGACATGTATGATACTTCATTAGTTATATTGGTTTCTATTTTTTTTAACATTAAGTATCATTAATTTTGATCTTTTTTAGTTATATATATATATATCGTGTACTACTAAAAGTTTCCCCTTGGAAAGTAATGATACGATTCGGCAAACGCGGGAAACTAAATCCAAGGTACATCGGGCCATTCGAAATCCTTGCTAGGATTGGGCCAGTAGCATACAAACTTCGATTACCTCAGGAACTCGACAAAGTACATCCCACATTTCACGTGTCGAACCTAAAGAAGTGTTTGTCTGATGAGACACTCGTAATACCACTTGATGAAATCGAAGTTAACGAAAATCTCCACTTCGTGGAGGAACCAGTCGAAATCATGGATCGGGAAATCAAACGAACGAAACAAAGTCGTATTCCCATCGTGAAGGTCCGTTGGAACGCTAAACGAGGACCCGAATTCACCTGGGAACGCGAGGATCAGATGAAACAAAAGTATCCACATCTCTTCCCAAACTCTTGAAATCCCAGTCAAAATGAAAATTTCGGGACGAAATTCCTTCTAACGGGGGGATGATGTGACAACCGTCAAATTTCGGTCAAGTCAAAGTCAAACAAAGGCAACAAGTCAAACCGGTCAACTCCAATAACCCTTGTATGTTAGGGTTTACGTTATGTAATCACTATATAATTCGCTATTTTAATGAGAAATCATCATTTGGAAAGTTCATGTGTTTGATTTTTTCTTAGCCTTAACAGTGCTAAACAACGAACCAAAGCGATAAAACACTATTGCACAATCATCGGGATTGTGTACGACACTAAAACACGGTTTAACGGGGTTTACGAACCTTGCGTTGTGAAGCCGGACACTCAAATTAATCACAAACGAAACCTCTCTAAATCGTTTTCACTCTATCTCTTTCTATTTGAAATCTCTCCTAAATCTCTCCCAAATCTCTCTCAAAAAGTTACTTTAACTTTTTGTAATCATTTGGTTCATATCGACCCTTAACCGGGTCAAAAATCGCTTGAAACGGGGTAAAAACGGGTAAAATAGCTTAAGGACCTGGAACTGAAGCTTCAGGACCGAAGCCTCTCATCCGAGGCCTCGGATCCGAAGCCTCTCATCAGGACCGAAGCTGAAGCCTCTCAGGAGACCGAATCTGAAGCTCTCAGACAGCAGCCTCGCATGCGAGGGTCCGAAGTCTCGGCCCCCATCCGAGAGGCCTCGCAGACGGCCCCTTTTTACCGGTTTTTCGACTACGACTTCGTTTTAACTCCGTTTTTCATTATTTTAACGTGGGATTTTCACCCAAAACTTTATTTTATAAACTAAGGCCCCAAAATATATAAATCTCCAGGGTTTTATAAAAATATATTAAAAGAATTAGTGGTTGAACTAATTATTGAGGGAATATTTGCTTTTCCTTAATTTATGGCAAAAGCAAACCACCACCACCTCACTCTATGATCAGCCACTCTTTCCCACTACCCCTTGTCTCCTTAGTGGACCTTTACACCCAATCTCCAGCTCTTCCCACGTTCTAAGAGCTGGAGGATTGATCCTCTCTCCTCATTCTCCATAAAGTTCTTTCATTCTACACTTAGCAACCAAAGGACACTCTCCAAAATTCTCTCATCTTTTCTCTCAACTTCAAGAACTTCAAGGCTTTCTTCAGGGATTTCTTTCTTCAATTAGTAAGTATCTTCATCATTCATATAATTATTACACTTCATTCTACTCAAATCATTGATATCTTACACAAATTCCATCTTATTCGATGTTAGATTCTCGAATCATCAAGACATCTTCTTAGTGTCCTCGGGTTGAACACTTCCTCCCTCTCACTTTCATCTACTGAAACCACATAGGGTGAGTTCATACCCCTACATTTACATGTTTTTCTTAAGTTTTAAGGGGGAAATACAAGTAAAATCATCAAGAACACAATTAAACTTTTTCTATCAGATTACATCAGAAAAGATGAACTTCGATCACGGACTGTTTTGGTCAACTTAAACATTTTAGTTTTCAAAACTGTTACAGGTGAAAGTAGTTCAAACTCTTAGCTTTAAAATGGCTACTTGCACATCTCCATATGATGTTTCTACAATTTATGGTGATTTTTACAAAACTGCCTATCATTTCAAAGGCAAACCCGGACCAGTCTGTGATTATGAACATTTTCACCTCTGTTAGAGATCACTAAAAATCATGATAAAATTTACGAATAAACTAGACTCATATTCCAAACTCTCAGAATTTGCGGATTTGAATTTAGAGCTTTGATGATTTTTCTATAAATTTTCTAAGAACAGTAACAGAAACTGTATACAACAAAAAGTTGCTGTCAATTTCATTTCACCTTGTAACATGTTGAGCAAGGTGTATATCTTTATGTGATTATATGTTATTGCAATATATGACATTTTATCTTAATATTTAGACACACATCAGTTTACAAATGGATTTGGACATATAAAATATAAAGAATAACAAGTGATTATAATCAAAGTACAACCGATACATTCAAACATTTAATAAACTATTTTGAATATAGTTTGCATACATTACTACGTACTACCCTTGGTGGATAAACTATAATAGGTATAGTTTATGATACATTACATAACACATACATTTAAAAAGGGTACATTTATACAAAGGATATTTTCATTAAGCAAGGTACGGCCATACGGTACCAAGTTTTCATAACACGTAATTCCGTTAATGACTTTGTGAGACATTTACTTCAAACTACCATTAAGTCCTGTATTGTAACCAGAGTCTCCTTGAGGGAGAGCGTGATAGTTGTGTATAGATCTATATTGGGTTTGACAAACCCACACCTAAACTGCATGCAACAGTTAGACCGATAGGTCTGGGGTGACAAATGTCATAACATTTCCGACGCCCGAAGAACGTCGTTTTAGGCAACCTTGGTCATAGCATGGTTATAATAAACTCACACAAAGTATTAATAAATATTGGAATTTACGGGAACTTCATTAAAATTAAACGAGTTTATGTCGATTTAAACTTACATTATTTATTATAAGTAAGAAAAGTTACTTATACATTTCGGTCTTTAAATTTAAGACTACATATACATTTTAAGGAAAATATTGGATTTTCTAAAACAAATACTACTTTTACAAACGAAAGGCTTTTAATAATATCAAACAAAAGCTTATGAACTCACCAACCTTTGTGTTGACACTTTTTCAAACAACTTGTATTCTCAGGAAATCATTAAACAGGTAACCAAGTGCTTTTGAGGATGGGACGCTAAGGCGTCTACTATTTCATATTTTGTCAACATATTGTAATTGATTCGTAAACATGTAATTCATACAATGATGTAACTTTTTCAATTATATATATATTGGTTGTGTTTGCTTGAATTACTATTACAATTGTTGTTATGATACTATACATGAAGTCCTCCACCCCCGGACGTTTCCGCCATCCTTGGTTTGGGGGTGTGACATATATCCTTTCAATCTTAATCTCTTCTTTCAATTCCATTCGTTTTTATATCCTTTAAGTCAATTTGTTTTAATTTACATATAATGTTACATGTCCTTTCAATCTTAAATTGTTCTTTCTTAATGCACTCTTAATTGATTTCATTATCACCACTAAACTTGAATGTTTTTTTTTCCTGTATAATTTATTAAGTATAAGTGCAGGGGCATACAAAACTATATCTATCATATGATATGTGTTTTTTTTGTTTGTACTTTATCAAGGCTCAACTCATCAGTGTTTTTGTGGATTGCATAATCAGGTACTGATCTTCTCCTTCGTATGTGAAATAGATATTATGCATGCACGAATAAAAGTGATTGTAGAATCATATGTTAACAGTGCATGGGCATAATGGTAATAATTTTAGAAGGGTAGAATGGTTTTTTTTTTGTTATAATTTGTGTATTACTACTTATTTGATTATATCTGATTTTTGTGACATGGATATTATAAAGTGTTGTTCCTACTTTAATAATACATTGTCATTGTTGATGCAAATATAGTAAAAGATCATCAATGGTATAATTGTAATTTTGTAAATTTATTTCTTTGTTTGCAGGGAATTAAGTAGAATATTAATCATAAAATATTCTGTACAGTACCCATTATGTATTGTAAAATATTCAAGCCATTTTTCTGTTTAATTAATGTAACATCCATAAAAATCAAGCCAAATTTAAACTTTTTAAAACATTTAGAAACCAATAGTTATTACAATTTGTTTTCAAAATAGTTCCATATCAGAGTATCTTAGAAACATAGTCATAAAATGTGAGGAGCTGTACGATCACGCCTTTGCCTTCCCGCGATCATCTGAGGTACCTGAAACCAAAACTGAAACTGTAAGCCCAAAACTTAGTGAGTTCCCTCAAAATACCCATACACACAACAATACACAAATAATCACAAACAACATACTATGGGTCCAATCAACCATCGGGTTGGAATACCCCAGACCCTCAACCATCGGGTTGGAATGCCACCATACTATAGGTCTAGTCATCCTCGGGATGGATTACCCCAGGCCCACAACCATCGGGTTGGAATGCCCTCATACTACGAGTCCAATCATCGTCGGTATGGAATACTCACTGCCCACAACCATCGGTTGGAATGCCCATGTCTGTTGGCTCTCGCATAAAGCAGAGGAGCCTC